CGGATGTCTTCATCTACTGCTTTTTGCAAACGATTGGTGTCAATATTTTTTTACACATGATTTGAAAACCTTTTTTATGAACGCTTATAGGTGATGTAAATCGTTCAAAGAGTCACACTCAACTTTTCACTCAAAAGAATCAAGATCCTAATCTGCGGCTTGCGTAGAGCCATATTTATTGTTTTTGAGCTTGCAAAAGGCAAAATAAATTTCACCTGTCAAAACAATTGCCCATATTTTTCAAACACACAGTGTTTCACGGTAGAAGTTTTCTAGATATATACACAGCAGTTTAGCTTTCTTAAAAAAAGTCTCAAGTTAAAATTTATTTTAATTGAAGGGTATATTTCCAAATTCAGTTTTTTTGTGGTGTTTTTGCCATTTAATTAGTGGTTTTCCTATTAACCCTGCTTAATTTATGAGAAAATTTTCGAAATTTATCAGAAATTTTTTGGTTGATAGTTTTTCGGAAATCCATTGGAACATTTTAGTTTTCACCAAAAAAAAAACTGGCAGTCTTGTGCGTCCGACATGCATTCAGCCTCAGGTTTGTTCTAATTTGGGGACATTTTATAGGTGTACCGCAGTGTGGGTAGCAGGGCAGAAAGCATAGTTTCGAGGTATATTTCGGCCTATCCTATTCATATAAATATTTAAGTTATATCCTGATGTTTTTGGGCAAAGTTGCGCCTAGTCAAGGGTTGGATGCCCTGTTTAGTTTCTAAAACTTCTGGGGGTGTTAAGGGGAGAACTTTGGACGGTTGTCTTCATCTACTGCTTATTGCAAACGATTGGAGTCAATATTTTTTTTACACATGATTTGAATTTATTTGTTATGAACGCTTATAGGTGATGTAAATCGTTCAAAGAGTCACACTCAACTTTTCACTCAAAAGAATCAAGATCCTAATCTGCGGCTTGCGTAGAGCCATATTTATTGTTTTTGAGCTTGCAAAAGGCAAAATAAATTTTACCTGTCAAAAAATTGCTCATATTTTTCAAATACACAGTGTTTCACGGTAGAAGTTTTCTAGATATATACACAGCACTTTAGCTTTCTTTAAAAAAGTCACAAGTTAAAATTTATTTTTATTGAAGGGTATATTTCGAAATTCAGTTTTTTTGTGGTGTTTTTGCCATTTAATTAGTGGTTTTTCTATTAACTTTGTTTAATTTATGAGAAAATTTTTGAAATTTATCAGAAATTTTTTGGTTGATAGTTTTTCGGAAATCCATTGGAACATTTTAGTTTTCACCAAAAAAAACTGGCAGTCTTGTGCGTCCGACATGCATTCAGCCTCAGGTTTGTTCTAATTTGGGGACATTTTATCAGTGTACCGCAGTGTTGGTAGCAGGGCAGAAAGCATAGTTTCGAGGTATATTTCGGTCTATCCTATTCATATAAATTTTTAGGTTTTGTCTTGATGTTTTGGGCAAAGTTGTGCTTAGTCAAGGGTTGGATGCCCTGTTTAGTTTCTTAAATTTTTGGGGGTGCTAAGGGGAGAACTTTGTGCGGATGTTTTCATCTACTGCTTTTTGCTATCGATTGGTGTTTTTATTTTTTTTATATATGATTTGAAATTCTTTTTTATGAACGCTTATAGGTGATGTAAATCGTTCAAAGAGTCACACTCAATTTTTCACTCAAAAGAATCAAGATCCTAACCTGCGGCTTGTGTAGAGCCATATTTATTGTTTTTGAGTTTGCTTAAGGCAAACTAAATTTTACCTGTCAAAACAATTGCCCATATATTTCAAATACACAGTGTTTCACGGTAGAAGTTTTCTAGATATATACACAGCACTTTAGCTTTCTTAAAAAAAGTCAAGTTAAAATTTATTTTAATTGAAGGGTATATTTCCAAATTCAGTTTTTTTGTGGTGTTTTTGCCATTTAATTAGTGGTTTTTCTATTAACCCTGCTTAATTTATGAGAAAATTTTTGAAATTTATCAGAAATTTTTTGGTTGATAGTTTTTCGGAAATCCATTGGAACATTTTAGTTTTCACCAAAAAAAACTGGCAGTCTTGTGCGTCCGACATGCATTCAGCCTCAGGTTTGTTCTAATTTGGGGACATTTTATCAGTGTACCGCAGTGTTGGTAGCAGGGCAGAAAGCATAGTTTCGAGGTATATTTCGGCCTATCCTATTCATATAAATATTTAGGTTATGCCCTGATGTTTTCGGGCAAAGTTGCGCCTAGTCAAGGGTTGGATGCCCTGTTTAGTTTCTGAAATTTCTAGGGGTATTAAGGGGAGAACTTTGCGCGGATGTTTTCATCTACTGCTTTTTGCAAACGATTGGTGTCAATATTTTTTTTACACATGATTTCAAATTCCTTTTTATGAACGCTTATAGGTGATGTTAATCGTTCAAAGAGCCACACTAGTTTGCTTCTTATAAAATTTGTTCAAGTCCATCTTTATAAATTTTAAGATGTTGACTAGTTGCTGGCGGGCGGTCCACGATAAGTATGGTAAAAATGGAGATGGCTTCTCGGCAAGTGTCCTCAGGACAAATTGAGAGGAAAGTAGTTTGTGGTAAATTTTGACAATAAGTTATTCACACTCTGAATTTAGGTGGTCAATGGGGCTTAACCTAAAATACCCAGTAATTATCTGCAAAGCTGCTTTCGCGCTATTTGAATCTAACTTATGGACGTGTTACTAGCATCGTGAGACCAAGCTAGACAGGCAAAGTCTAGGTTTGGTCGTGATGAAGTTTTGTAAATACTAGTTGAAGTCTCTTCCGACTGACCCCAGTTTAAAGCATACAGCGCCTTCTGGACCAATATTCTGCGCAGGGTTTTGCTTGCTGTGCGTTTGCAATGATTGACAAAATTGAGGGAAGGGTCGAAAAAAACACCAATTTTTTTTGGAATGCATTAAAACCGATAAAAACGTTTCACAAATTGTATTCTTGGGTTAGAATTAAACTCTCAACTATGAGACGTGAAAGACTTACAAAGTTTATTGTTAAGTAAAAATTGAGTGATCTGCTAGTAAAAAAAGTGATACAATTGGTTTAGATGATTACTTAAAGCAACAGAAGCATGTTTTATGTCGCGTAATTGACCAGAAGGGTAAAAAGCATTGACAAAGGATTGAAACAATGCTTTACAACTTGAAACGAAAAAGCGAGAGCAGAACGAACATCGGAGGAAACCTGTAAGTTCGCTCCTGGATGAAGATAAGGCTACCTTGGGTTGCGTTTTGGCTTGACATTCGCACAGATAATTTTTAAGTTTTTGAGTTAAACTATCTAGAACCATGGTGTGCATCGACGAGTGCATTTGAGAATTATAAAGCTCTTAAAGCTTAAAAAGCTATGAGCTTTAAATTTTAAAACTCATAAAATTCAAAATCCGTTCCGGTTGAGATTCTTTGATAAAAAACAATCCAATTTGAGAAATTATTATCAATAGGTGATTTTTTTATACGACAAAAAAACTTAAATCGAAAACTAACTTTTGAAACAAATTCGATCCGGTTTTTTATACCGTTTCTAATCAGTGCGCGTAATTTGCTTATCTTCTAGCAAATATTTTCAAACCTCACTTCAGAAAAATCAAAACTGCGTATATCAGTGCGAAGTTCCGAATGTTACGATTGACATCTGTTGTCAAGATAAAAACATTTGAATTTGAAACACTGATAAATCTATAAAAAAGAAAGGTTTTTTTTTTTAGTTTTATCCTACATTCAGAAGATATAAAAAGCAGACAAACGTTTATAATTTGCAACTGTTAACGCATTAATAAAATTTGGAATGATTTAATTATCTGCTTACCCTTAAATAGGGCGAACTATATCTCGCGTTAAATTTACCAAATGGCCAATCTGTTAATTTTCAAACATCCGTGACTTTACAATAATATGAGAAGGTAAAAAATTTTCACAAATTTTTGTCGTCTCTTCAAAGAAGCTACAAGTTGGGGAAAAACGGAATAACTTCCTTCCTTAAATGTCTTTTAAACTTAGGCTTTTTTAAGTCAAGTCATTGGCGCAATTTTCTGCCAAAATCATTCCAACATTTTAGTCTTTTCTGGACATAGTCTCTGCAGAGAAGCTATAAGTTGGAGAAAAGCGGAATATCCGATTTCATTAAATGTCTTGTAAGCCTAGGCTTTTCTCAGTCATTGGCGCAATATCCTTCCGAAGACTTTTTCGTCTTTTCTGAACGTCGTCTCTACAGAAAAACGATAAGTTGGAGAAAAGCGGAATACCTCAAGTCCTTACATGTCTTGTAAACTTGTGCGTTTTTCAATCATTTGCGCAATTTTCTTCCAAAATCATTCGCTTATTTTAGTCTTTTCTGAACGTAGTCTCTACAGAGAAGCTACAAGTTGGAGAAAAGTGGAATAACTCCCATCCTTAAATGTCCTGTAAACGTAGGCTTTTTTCAGTCATTGGAGCAATTTCCTTTCGAAATCATTTCTTGGAACTTTTCGTCTTTTCTGAACGTCATCTCTACAGAAAAACGATAAATTGGAGAAAAGCGGAATACCTCAAGTCCTTAAATGTCTTGTAAACTTGTGCGTTTTTCAATCATTTGCTCAATTTTCTTCCAAAATCATTCGCACATTTTAGTCTTTTCTGAACGTAGTCTCTACTTAGAGAAACTACAAGTTGCAGAAAAGCGGAATACTTAAAGTCCTTCAATGTCTTGTAAACGTGGGCTTTTTTAAGTCATTGGCGCAATTTATTTCCGAAATCATTTGCACATTTTAGTCTTTTCTGGACATAGTCTCTGCAGAGAAGCTTTAAGTTGAAAAGCGGAATATCTGCTTTCATTAAATGTCTTGTAAACTTGGTCTTTTTTCAGTCATTGGCGCAATTTCCTTCGGGAATCTTTTCTTGGACATTTAGGTCTTTTCCGAACGTCGTCTCTAGAGAGAAGCTTCTAGTTCTAGAAAAAAGAAATACCTTATTTCATTAAAGGTCTTGGCCTTTTTTCAGTCATTGCAGCAATTTCCTTCCGAATTTCAAGAATAACTACATTAGATATTCAAAGCTTAATTCAAAAATTTATATATAATCTGATAATAGACAAAATGGCATGATTGAAGTAGTTAAACTATCGCCAAATTAGCATCGCACATATTCTATCTTATAATTAATGTACGTCACGCAACCTCGATATTATGAATATTGGCCCACACAAATGGAAAACAATGGAATACGATAATCCCTTCAGCGTTAAGGGACGAATAAGTGAATGTTAGGGTGTGACCAGTGGCGATATAATGATATAGTGAACTATTGTCGAAATCATTTTCCCAGAAACTAATCTGCTATGCAAATCTGCGTCATAGCCAAATAAGATCAAACAAAAAAGTTTTTTTTTTGCCTCGAGGCATTTCAAATGCGGAAATCTCAGCGCAAGTTTCTAATTTTTAATTTTAAATATTCATTTTTTGGTCAAAATGAATATTTTAATCTCAAATTTTGAGAATTTACACCAAGTTTCAAGGTAAAAAAGGGTATTTACCTAGTATCATAAAGCTAGTTATTTCTAGAAAAAACCACTGGTTGAATTGAGACATTTCCGTGCAACAACAATAGTTAAGACTGCACTTATCACATCTGAGAATGAACTATATAGTAAATAATTAACGGATATTCAATGGCTAGTTTTGCTAGTGATAAATTAGTCAAGTTTTTGTTGTCATTTTCTCAGGCGTCGTTCTGGTTTTTCCGCACTTTCTGGCGACTGGCTGTTGTCCTCGCAGTGTTCGACGTCTGATTTGGTCTTCTACTAGCGGTTCCGTTACTGGAGCTTCGAGTCGAGTTCTGAGACGATTCGTTGGACGACGATGTTTTTGAAGTTTTCGCTTGCTTCGCTAATATGTGGCGAGGAACTGTCAATACAGGGAGTTCTAGGGCCGACGACAGTTGCAGCAACACTCGAATCACATACACAAAATAGTCGACTGTACACCAAACCTACAATATAAGAAAAGATAACTGTGAATTGCAGATACATACATCATACTCCCTAGTTGAAAGTTCCTTGATGATATTATGATGACCCGACCGCCGTTTGAGATGCTTCAATTTTCTGAGGGCGAATTATTTTTTATTATTTACCTCAATTTCAAACACGAAAGGATGCCATCTATGTCCAATAACACCTTATTTGAACACAACATAGCCTACAGACAGTTGGAAAAGAGTCAATTATATAAAGTAAAACAAAAAAAAGACAAGGATAGCCAGTTACTGTGCAAATAGCACAGAATGTTCATTCCAAATACACGAAACAGTTTTTTCAAACTAGTGTCAACTTTTGTGCGCGGTCTTATAAAAAGATCTAAACGAAAAATTAGCAGAGCTTAAGCATATTCGACAGCCATAGGAAAATTAGAAAACCATTTTTGAAGACAAATGACTAAAAAAAAAACAAAAAAAAAGTTTTTTTAGTAGTTTTTTTTTATTTTTTAAACTCCAATAAGGCGCTTAAAAGCACAAAAAATCAACTTTACTTGAGAAAAACTACGTTTTTACGGCTCAAATTAAGCTATTGTAAGCTATTAAGCTCGAAATAAGACTTCAAATCAAAAATTTTGAACCTGTGTTTCTCGATACTGGGACAACTTTCTAAAACATTTTTAGAACTTGTTTTAAATTTCAAGGCTCTTTTCAGTAAAACTTTTTGATAGAAACTAACCTAATTTGAGAAAATTGAGTAAAAGGTAAGCTTTTTCATTCCACTGGAAAAATTAAACCCACTTAAGAATCCATTTGTCATTCACCACTATGCTTAGAAAGGATGGATAGCTTTTCATACAGCTTCTGCCAATTGCAGTACCACAATTATTATTATGATCATTAATCACGTTTGCTAACTTTAAATAAAATGGATTTGAATTGAACTTAGATATCATATTTCATACCGCATAAACTAAATTGAGTGCAAACAATTTTACTACTTTTTCTTGAAAAATAAAAAATCAACACGATCTAAAATAAATCTCCTCACTACGTTCATTGACACAGATACAAGTGGAATAAGTCAGATAAGTTAGATACAAATAGAATACTTTTGGAACTTGCTTTTGGTTCATAAGCTACAAAAATTTGGAGACATGGAAACTAATCTCTTCTCGATAGTTATGGTCAAAAACCTATTTCAGCGTTATAAAGGTAAATGCTAAGCATGCCAATCAAAAACTTAAAAAGTAGAAATTTAGAGGACCATGATAGCAGTAATTTGACTTAAGTGATATAAATATATATTGTGAACTCCCTGAAACTAACTATATCATGAACAAGACTGCTCGTATATCAGGGTCCTGAATATTCCGACTGCCATTTAATCCATATCGAAATTTTTGGAAAAAGAAAATATTGCAACCCTATAAATTTTTGATAATATCAAAGATCAAGGGTAAAAATTTGAGTCTAACGACATAAAAACGACAGATTAGCTAGCCTCAATTCAATATGGAACAATTTTGTGGTGCGGGATAATTCGCGTTACGCTTTCAGGATGGATGAAATCTACAAAGGGCGCATAAATTATTCCAGAGCATGGCCAAATTAGCAATTTTCAAACTCTCAAAACTTTGCAAAAAATGATTGGAAGTAAAATATCTTTTAGAATTTGATTTCAAGGAGTCGGTATCTTCAATGGGGCCAAATTTTTTTTGTCAAAAAACATTATTTCGGTCGCCGAAAACTGACTGAATAAAAAATACCACACCAGGCATAAATATTCCGTTTAATTCCGCATCTATTTCTATCACCGTCAAAAATCTCAGCACCGAAGCAAACAAGCAATAAAAGGGCGAAAACAGCTTTAAACGTATGACTTCAAATAAAGCCTTGGAAACCATCATCAAGTTTTTGGATCGATTAATCTAAATCACGACTAATAGGCCTGTAGCATATAATATCACACTTGGCCCTCTATGAGATGGCCATTATGACCTTTCAGGAAGTCAAAAATTGAGAAAAAACCATACCTGGAAGGTAATTCCTTCCCACTCCGCGAAGTGGTAGGAACAAAAAGACAAGTGGGTGCTAGGTAAATTGGACAAAATGACCAGAGGCGGATCTAGAATTTTCTCAAAGTAAGGTTTTCAATAAAATGAAATCCTTTTTTATGGTCGAACAAATTGATTTTTCGAGCGCTCCAAGAACACCAGAAAATTTTTGGGAAAAAAAACAGTCCATAAATACCATTTTTAGGCACTTTTTGGAAAACGTTGGTAGGGCGCAAATGGATGTCATAAAATTATACTAAAGGGTGACCCTTTGGTCGTATCACTAAGGAGAGGCGTCCTCCCCTCTTCTCTAAATCCGCCCCTGGATATGACATTAAGCCGAACAGTGAGCAATAAAACATGTAAACTAAGTTTACCGAATTTAAATGGTTTGGTTTATCTTTCAGAAATACAATAGAATGATTGTGGGTAGCGTCGTGTTAAAGTCTCATGAAAAACCGCTGTGGTCTTACTAGCTGTCGTTTTATTTGCCGCAACCCGACTAGGAGGACTTACGACGGCTGCCATGAGGACATAGTGTTCTGGGAATACGTAGTTGAGGTACTGGTTCAGACACACTATCCCCGGACCCCACATGGTTAAGTCCCAGAACCACAGCTCACTCCTGCACATATGCGCTACCTGCATTGAAAATGATAATGTTCACACACTACAAAGTGTATCTCTAGAAGATTAACGCAAGAAAGGACTTCGCATATCGGCACTGGATTAGTGGCCTCGTTGTAAAAACTTTCTTCCTCGGTGGGGATTGAACATCTGACCTTAGGACTCCTAGTCTATTCACGTCACGCAATACTCAAAGTGGCATTATAACAGTCTAGTAAACATTCACCCGAGTAAAACAGAATTATCTAGGATAATAATTCTGTTTCACGTCAAGTTTTCTGTAATATACTTTGGTAACACTCTACGATTACGTAGTGTTAAATAATCAACTTGAAGCAAATAGCGACAAAATGTCTCTTTTTAAACGATGATTATATTTTACAAAAAAAACGAATCCAGATAAACCAGATTAACGATTTGAAGCCTAATTCGATTTTCTTATCGCAGTTAAGATAAACTAGCATGTAACGTACCTACGTTGCCTCGAATTATTAAGAAGCCAAAAGAAAACCACACATACTGGAAATAAGATATGCATCCTTTAAGTGTACTCTGACAGCATCCGATTACAGGGTTGGTGATTTCAAATTTTGTAAAATGTTTTTTTTTTCAAGTTTTTTTTTAATTCAAACGTTGAAAAACCATAAAGTTTTTACATCTTAGTTCATTTTAAAATGACATGAAAATACACTACATCTCAAACACTAAAAAATTTGAGCCAGCGCATTTAGACCCAAGATTTGTAACTCCTGAGAGTACTCTCACACTACCCAACTACAGCGTTGGGAATTTCAAATTTTGTGAAACTTCAAATTTAAGTTTTCTAATTTTTTGTTGAAAAACCATAAAAAAGGTCATATTTCAAAAACCACAAAAATTTGAGCAGTCAAGTTCGGAGGCAAGATTCGCAACCCGGTATTTGACTGCGACAGAAGTAGTAATTTCAAATTTTGAAAAAAAAAATAAATATAAGTTTTCTGAAAACTTTTTTGAAAAAATCACAAAAAAAGTCATATCTCAAAAATTACAAGGACTTGAGCATTCATATTTCGAGACAAAATCGCAACTTCTGCGACTACCCTGACAGAGCCTCACTGTGGAGATAGGAATTTCAAATTTTTATAAATTTTTTATATCTAAGTTCTTTAAACAACTTTAAAAATGACATAAAAAAACGCCACATCTCCTAAACTAAGAGCGTTTGAGCAGTCGCAATTTGACGAAAGATTTGCAACTTGGAGCTCCTGAGAGTACACTCACAGTACCCAACTATAAGGTTGGGAGTTTCAAGTCTTTTGAATTTTTAAAATCTCAAGTTAAGCTTTCTGAAAAAATCATAAAAAACGCCTTATCTCGAAAACCAGAAGGATTTGAGCAGTCATACTTGAACGCCAGATTTGCAACCTTTTTGGGGGCAAGAATTGCAGCCCTTGAGAGTACTCTGACAGCACCCAGTTTCAGGGTTGAGAATTTTAAATTTTGTGAATTACTTTGTAGTTTGTGTTTTCTGAAAAAATTTGAAAAACCACATAAATTGTCGTATCTCGTACACTAAAAGGATTTGGGCATTCATAATTGGAGGTCAAATTCGCAACCCCTGGAGAACCCTGATATTATTCCATTATTATGCTGCTTAATTTAAACTCGATTCAACAAATACTGAATTCAACTGGAAAATCGAAGAAAATTCTTAAGCATTGCAATATACGATATAGCTTAAACGTGAAAATCGTTCGTTAAACATGCAAAAACAATGCATTGAAGAAGCTTAAACGTGGCGAAATAGTGAAGCCCGCATTTAAACATATATTAGATCGATAATCATTGAAATAAACTTATGTGGTGTGACTATGACTCACAATGAGGATGGTGGTTATTTTGGAGAAGTAGAGTCCAAATAGAGAGTAGAACAGGAGAGTGTACTCCTCGGCCACATTGGGCTGCTGTGACTTGTGCTGGATGAGCCACATGAACACAAACGCACAAAAGATACTCTTCACCGGGCTCAACACACTAGAATCCTTAACACAACACAGCACCAATAAGTAAACTGCTCTTGTTATAAGACGAACATAGCGATCAGACAAGTGGGAAAAGTTGTTATCAAGTCTGCCGGTGACTTACAGCTACAGTAGAACCTGCTCGGCCAGATCCTCCCTGGATGAGAATATGGTGTAGTCTGGTTAGAATGGCCGGCAAACATAACGCAGACACAACTACAATGAACAAAATCCTCATCTGTCCAACTACCATCACCTGAAATACCCTTCAAAAATATAATAACTCAGTCATTCGCAACTAGAATATTCCCTGCAATCCCTTTCGCAGGTTATTCTCCACAAAAATTACCTCTTGATCCCAAAAAGTTGAGCCAGCAAATGAAGTGAAGACCAAGTGGATCATTATCGACAACTGAGCTTCCGTTATATCTATGCTGAAACAATGGACAATTCTTCATGTAATTAAACAGCCTCATTAGAGAATGCATAGCGTACAATCATACAAGATGAACACCTGCACAACCCCCCCCCCCCCACATAAAAAGTTTATGGGATACACATTTATTTAGAAATACTATTAATTAATTCAACTAGCGTGTGACTCGCACCTATGATGGTTTAAACAGGTTTTCGAACGTGGGAATTGCTTCCTGCAATAATTTTGAAACACAAAAGAAATTTAAAACGCCTCCAAAAAGGGAGCAAAATCTATGCAGACAAATCGAGCGAGACAATTGAAACAGATGCACATGTCCAATTATAACCATAAACTGAACTCACTATCCGAAGTGTAGCACTCCAGTGCAGTAAGTGAGCCAGTGGGCGAGATAGAAAGTGAAGCAGGTGTTGCAGAAGGAAAACATGTTCACGGCCGGGTGCAGACCAAGTCTTAGACTGATGTTGTACACTATCGACACAATCACTGAAGAAAAAACGGACTTAGTGGCTGCAACCTATGTCATATCGATAGATACATATCTCATAGCATTCCCAAGGCGATAACAGATGTTGAAATCGAAACGTTTCAGACTCCTGTGAAGAGCAAATAACTGTTCAAAGCAGAGGTAAAAAAGGTAGGGAAAATTTTTTCATAGACTGGGAGCTATCACACAGCGATGCTTCGCGCAACCACATAAAAATTACGATTGAAAGCTGGCAGACAGAAAGTAAGACGTAAGCAACCAAGTCAAAAAACGTTTGTAAACTTTCGAATAAATCTACACAAATTCCAAATTCTTGGCTCGAAGCTGCAGCATTCAAAGAAAACACGTTTAGCAATACAATCGCTAGCGTTTAATAAGTATCAAAAAGCATTTATCAAGCGGCAACTTAGCCGACGAAAATTGGGTAAACGCCTGTTGCGCCGAAAAAAAATGTTGTCATAAAAACCTTGATCCAAACAAATTTGTTTACCATTTGTTTATTCATTTAAATTTGTTATATTCTAATATTGCCATTTTTAACAAAATTTTGTTCATGTATTTGAAATTCATTTTGGGTGATTGAAGTCTTTTACAACTACTACTATTGAATTCTAATATTTTAAGAATTTACGTCCCCCCACCTCTCCGAAAACACAAAAATAAGCAAGGCTACTTTTTTCTTCTCAAAAAACGCAAAATTAGGTCACTAAGCCGATACCAGATAAAATGAAACCATAGAGGCCAAATAAAGGTTTCGAGCAATAAAACAGTTAGGGGTTATTATATTGAGAATACAGAAACAAACCAATTTGTTAACCCGACAAAAGTCTCTTCCGATTTGATAACGCTAATCGCAAACGAATTAAACAGTTGATTGCATTTTAGGGGTTATGTTTGGTATGATTTACTCTAGATCAATTATCAGAAAGGTGAGCTCCCTGGGAAGATAAAAACCCAAGTTATCAAATTTCAAACCTGTATTGACAGCGTCACAACCATGATCAAAAAGTTCCCCCATTGGTGAAGACATTCCAATTTTGCGGGCCTGCTTTCCATCTAATGCGTCTAATGTTTGATAGATAAAGAAACAGCAGGTAAATAGAATCAAAGCCCATGCAGGTGGCTGAAATTATTAATGCGGCAATCGTTTGTTTTCAAAAGTTTACTATCATTATTACATAATCAAGCTTCACTACTCACCTCTTCTTTGAATGTTGGACACAAGATGGCCAAGGGTAAAAACGCAATAAAGTTAGCCGTGAGTCCAAGAAGAGTAAGAATATTTGGAGCCATCCATGATGGAACATGGTCAATTAATGATACCCAGAACTTCTAAAGACAATTAAAAATTCCTGTAAAAAAGACAAGTAACTCTTGTTTTCTTTTTTTAGTTGTATCATTTAGAAAAAATTGTCTCTTTATATTGATCGTGGATCATTTTGTCTATGGTGTTGAAAACTTTTATCCTGATGATGCACAAAATCTGCGGAAACGTTTGAATTAACAGTTTAAAATTCTTATCTGTTTTCTTACCTGAAATACAGGCTCAACAAGAGACGATCCTTCGGCCTTATATTTGTGTCTTCTTATATTATCTATCTGTTTTTGATTCAGGAACTCTTTGTCCCATAAGAACAGAAAAGAGCCCATATCAAATAAACCTGAAACAAACTTTGGTAGAACTTGCTAATTAGATGAGCTTGTGCGTCAAAACACTTGATTATCTATCAGTTTCAGATTCAGTAACTCTTTGACCCATAACAACAGAAAGGAGCCCATATCAAATAAACCTGAAACAAACTTTGATATAACTTGCTAATTAGTTCGGTTCAGTTCATATAGAACTGAACTGTTATTCCAATTTATACAAAGCTTTTGTATACATTTAATGATTCACCGTTTGGTCAGACCCAGTTCAGTTCAGTTCAGTTCATATAGAACTAAACTGTTATTCCAATTTATTCAAAGCTTTTGTATAATTTAATGATACAACAATTGTATAAGTTTAATGATACACCATTATGATAAATCATATTTTGAAACACCATTAGGTAAGACCCTAAATATTACTTTGCCGACGGCCAATTACAGAATTGATCATCGCACTAAAGAAATAATTTTTATTCCGTTTTCATTTATGGATTCATTTTATCTCATCTTTTTGAGTTTTTATTTACATGCTAAACCTTAATTTCAGAAGTCCCTTCATCACATTATCCAGTCAAAATCCTAGGAATTTTCTAGATATGGAAGAGTAAAGTATAATATTGGAGAGTCAGATGGTTGGGGATTAAGCCAATCTGATTGAGAGAACTACACTAGTGGACAAAATTAAGCGCAAATTCATGACTCTACTCTGTAAAATTTCTGTTTTCAATGTACATTTTGGTCATTATTTCCTTCGAAATTCAGTAAAAAAATTTTTTGACCGAGAGCAAATGATCAGTGCTACCATCTGTGAAAGTATCAATATTTGGATTCGATAACTTGCAAAGGTTATCTGGCTCTGAAAATGCCAGTTTTCCTCATCTGCATTCAGCTTTGTACTTCGCGTAAGTAACAAACGTCTGAGTTTAGTTTAAAAAAACTCACATTGATTGCTTTCATTTTCTCACATTGATTGCTTTCGACGGTATAACGGCAGAAGCCTTAAAAACATCTTTTGGGGTTACGTTTTATCTCTTACTAGCACTTTTCCAGACGTGTTTCAAGTTTTCAGTCCTACCCGAGAGTTGGAAGACAGCGTTGGTGAAACCTCTTTACAAGCAAAAAGGAGAAAAAAGGGATCCAAACAACTATCGTGGTATCAGTCTATTACCTGCTCTATATAAGATCTTTATTGGGATTCTTTACACACGATTAATTGGCTGGATTGAAGAAAATTCTATATTACCAGAAACGCAGTTTGGGTTTAGAAAAGGTAGATCGACAGTTTCAGCTGTTAACGACCTCAAAAACAGTATACAAGACGATTTAGTCAATCACGGAAAGTGCTATGCTTGTTTTGTTGACTATCAGAAAGCATTCGACTCGGTGGACCGCAACCTTCTCATCGCAAAGTTACAAAAACTGGGTCTCCGGGGACGTATTTTAGGCATCTTACACGCAATATGCCAGAATAATTTGTTACAGGTAGTTGACGGAAGTTTTGTGTCAGGAAAAATTGTTCAAAACGTCGGCGTAGCTCAAGGGGACAAGCTATCTCCATTACTTTTCTCTCTTTTCATTGCTGACTTATCCAAAATTTTGCAAGAAACTGGTTGCCATGTGGTGTTTTACGCCGACGATCTTGTTTTTTCTCACCGCAATCTGAAAAACGTAAAGGAAGCCCTGGATAGACTTGCCAATTACTGCCATACCAACAAGCTCACTGTCAATATTGACAAGACGAAAGCCTTGAAGTTCAGGAAAGGAGGCAAAATCATGCCAGAGGACGCCCTGTTCTATAGAGGAATTGCTATAGAGTACACGAATACCTTCTGCTACCTGGGAGTCAACCTAACACCAAAACTAGCCTGCACAGAACACCTCAATGTGTTGATAAACAAAACTAAATCAACCGTGTTTGGACTCCAACAGAAAGTAAACCTTCAGAAAGTGTGCTTTAACTCGGCCCAGAGACTTCTGGAGCAATTTGTTCTCCCAGCAGGAACATATAGCCTGAATACATTCCTACAGATCGACACAGATAAGTTGGACGACCATTATAACAGAATTTGTGGAATTTTCTGGAAGAAATGGGCTGGAATCTCTGTTTTCAGCTCCACGAGACTCCTTCTTGAGAACCTATACTACAACGATTACCTTGGCCTGAGGCAGGCAAACACGCGACATAGACGTATCTTTGCGCTATACTACACCTCGGGATGTCATAATATTATATGCACTAAAATTGGCTGTTATAAACGCGAAATACATGATATTGTACAGGAAAAAGGGTTTACAGCGTATATGGACTGTGTCTGCCGACTTTGTAAGCTCCAGATCGTTGATGAGGATCACATACGACACTGCATCTCCTTTCCAGAAAGCCAGGATCTACCTGGAAGACTCATCAATATCAGGTTGCCGCCCAAGCAACTGTGACATCGTGCTTCTACGTGCCAAGACTCTTGACTTGACTCACTCTTAACACATTCCATGAGCACTTTAATTATATTTTTCATATTTGTCTTTGTAAGACGTACAATTTACCAATTTACCATTTACCATTTTCTCGCTGAGAATGTTTCACGTTTCTTTTTTACAGATTTTTTTTCTCCAAAATGTAACATTCGCCCAAATACTACACAGCGACTGAGCGTAGAAAAAGTACCTATTAACGACTGGCAGGCATCAGTTACCTTAATCCTACTCGTTTTTCACCGTCTCGACCTTGCCAGTTGATTTTCTGGTCTATTTAGGGCTAAGTAAAAAGTTACTATTTTTAGGCCATCAGTCAAACGACTTTTGATCAGCTTTCGTTTACATGCGAACACAACCACATAGCTGAGTCTCGGATCCTCAGACTACGTGATTGCCATTAAAAACACGGCTCGAACAACCTATTTTAATATGTTTTTGTGTGACAGTTCTATATTAAATCCATTGGAGATGGATTGACCCTTTCCTCTTTCTAGCTACTCATATTCTAAAATATCAAATTATACCGGTGTTAATTCAGACTTCTACGACATCCAAGTAGCTACAAAGTTAGTTTTATATAGTCCCTTCACATGAAACAGTCTCTGGGGGACCAAGCCTCCGCTCCCGTAATCTTCCTGAGATAACGTTCTTATCTCTTCCAATTTGTGGCACGGGAGGGTTCTGTGGAATATTCCTTCCCCACTGAAGCTTCCTTCTCCACTAATTTCCGCTGCTAAGAGTCTTATCGTGTGTCGTTGCCACGATAAGAGGCTTCGTATTTTTCGTCTCTTGTGCGACCGTTTTCCACAATATTTGTCGTTGTTCTGTTTTTTCGTCGTTTTTCGTCAAAATGGCCGTCTTTTTTGTATTTCTGAGAAATATCCACAATTTAATCGAAGTTTTAAAAATAAAAATTCTAGAATATTCCTACCCTCCTTCGCAATACTTTTTCGTTCCTAAGGCCTTCATTCGTTTTTTTTTTCGCGTCGCCGGAAGGTTGCGCTGTGCCATTTGGCAGAATGGCACATACTCCCCGGACAAATTCCCATCAATGTCCCTATTGATCGCATAACACCGGGTTATCGTCAAGTAGTGTTCCAGTTCTCTGTAATCAATCTTACAAATCGCATAAGAAAGTGAAATTTATCTACTCCACCTCAACTCACTACGTGTTCACAAATGGCACCGTACTACATTTCACTGCCTTTCAACATTTTCACAGAATTTGCACCATGAGGAGTGTCCTAGATAAAATTTCTTTTCTGACTACTTACGTCGTCTTGCCATAAAACTTCTTTTCGCTCTTTGTGATTAAAAAGTTGGGACGTGGCACGGCCACGCACCCATTAAAATTAACTTAACATCACTCACCAAGTATAATCAGTTATTTATGCGGTCCTTTCAATATTAAAACTAAGAAACTCTGTGGCTAGGAAAGTTATTGAGTTACCCACCCTTCTCGAAGGAGTTTACTCAAACTTACCATGTCGCCACACAGTGAAATTGTGTCTTACACAAGTTAAAAACTTCATTCGTGTTTAAATAGGTAAATATACTCACCTATGTTCTATATATATACATAGTAGTACAACTAAAATTCTCTTTCAACAATTTCAACAATTGTAACAATTTTCAAAGTTTGGTTTGACCAAACTAAATCAAAACAAAAAGTTTAACAAGTTAAACAATCAAAACTTGGTTGATTGGTTCAAGTTTTAACACACAAAGACAATCAAGTTTTTTTTCCCTTCTCTTCTCTTCTTTGCTCACGTCTTCCCTTGTTCTCTTCGTTCATAATCTTCACTCCATCGCTTCTCCATCCTGATCTTCAGCTTCGCTGTCTTCTGGGACTTTCTCCGTTATGTCCATGGAGTTGCGGGCCGTGCCCCATTTTTCCTGTTCCAACAGCCTCGGTTTGCAACAAGGTAGCAAGTCCACATTCACCTTTTGCTCCCGGTTCCTGCAAAAGCTGTTTTGAAGACATAGGCTCACATTTCGTTCTAGGTCAGCTCTTAAGACCTCTTTCTTTTCATCTTCAGTTACACAAGGCGCTCCAGCTACTCGCTTCACCGCCGTGGTGACCGCGTTTCTGTGCGTCAGGAATGCTCTCTTATAGGCTCCTGGTCCTATATCTAGCTGGAAAGATTGATAGGCTTCCGTGTTCCTCGACATGTGACGCTTCGCGCGTTCATACATCCATGATGTCATCACTGCACGGTATCAAGGCATCAATCTTCGCCTTGACCATATTCTTTCAATGGCTTTGGGTATTCTCAGAACCTTGCAGGTGGTTCTGAAAAGATCCAATTCACGACTCATCTTTACGTTGCTCAGCTGCTCAGGAGTCGGCACGGCCGTCTCCTGTTCACTTGTGTCCGCGTTAGCCTCCAACCATCTCACTGCCAGCATGGCACTAACCACCACGATTGACACATGTTGATTCTGATCGGGCAACCCCGTAGAGTGCAACTCCTCCACGTCCCATACTAGCATCAGATTCCCGCGTTTGGGGTACCACAACGTCTGCGCCAAGCAGTGGCAAGGATACTCCCATGGGTTCTCACTATGTTCCTTCGGGTCCGATAACCCGAGGCTCCCAGCAACGGTTCCACCTCCATCAGAATTCTGTGTAAGTCGTCTTTCTCTTCTATGGTGGGGAATTCAGTGGGTAACGCTCCACTCGCTTTCTGCTTCTGGAACTCACTCACATTACCTTCGTTCAATCTCAGAAACTCTTCACCCACTACGTCTTGCAACTCGCCTTCAGATCTCTTCGGGACTGCCCGAAAGATCTTTGCCAACAAATCATATGACCTCTCCCGGTTCCTGCAAAAGCTGTTTTGAAGACATAGGCTCACATTTCGTTCTAGGTCAGCTCTTAAGACCTCTTTC